TTTGGTCACGACTTGCAGTTTTCTATAAAACGCTCGCCCCTTCCCTAGTCGATGGGTTTTATTTTTTTATTCCAACTTGCTTGACAGTTGATTTTAAAAATGGAATCGCGATTTCGCGCCATCTTTTTTTATTGAAAGTGAACGTCTACTCGCATTATGGCTGGAAGTGGCCCATTCACTCAAATGCGAGAAATAGAATTTTAATTTTACAAGGAATTAGAATTAAACTCTTTCACAGACGGAAATCTTTCCAGAATGTGCGTTAAAAGGATTTCTTTTTATTTTTTATGTTTAACATTAAGAAACGTTTGTCCTCTGACAAGAATTCCTATTAAATTCTTACATATAAACCGTTTGTTTACAAAAGACAATAAAAACACGAATAAAAAAGCCTTTGATCGTTTTCATGAATCATTAAACAATGTTGTTTTGTATGTTTGGTTTTGCCATTAAGTAAAATTGTCAATTACCCTTGTTAGTTTTCTTTATTCTCCAATCGTTTCGGTTTATGCAAAAGGTCTGAGCAATCGATCTCGTTATTCAGAATCTTGACAAAATAAGTGCAGATCTTTTGCATAGTTCTGTACCTATAGTTTTCCGATCGATACGGTATCTTCAGACGAAAAGCGAACAAATCTTTTTTGGTGATCTCAATGCATATGAAATAAATTATCTATGCACTAAGCAGGTATATAAAAATGAATCCCTATATCCCTTCCCAAAATCCTACGAGGAGAAAACGGGATTGCGCGTACGAAGTCGCGGGCAGAACTAGCTAAACTAGCTAGTTTATTATATTATTCATTTGAAATTATAACGCAAACACAAATTAAGTTTTATCCATTAACACCAATCAATATCATATGGCAAGCGACTTGTGAAACAAACAATTTATTCACATACATTCTCTACATTTACATAAACAATTTATTCTTTCAGTTAACATGTATTATCATAATGTTACATTAATTTTATCAATCGACCTATTTTCACAAAATAATAAGTGGTCGATAGTGGATTGGTCGATACTGTAGCTCTAGTTAGGTCAATATTGTTTTTGGTGCATCCATAGATAATAATATGAAGAAGTTTATTATAGTATTAAAAAAGTAAAAGAATATCTATGGAGTTTTGTACCAAAAGGGTAAAAACAGGACCTTGAACCTTCCTTATTACTAAAACTCCACTGTCCGTCTGTCTATGAGCAGGCTGTATTGTATGGACCGTGATAACTAGTACTAACCAGTTTTTTCAACCGACTTCAAAAAAAGGAGGAGGTTCTCAATTCGACCCGTATGTTTTTTTTTTTTTTTTTTTTTTTCTATATTTGTTACGCGATTACTCCGCCAATTATGAACCGATTTGAAAAATTCTTTTTTCGGCGTATAGGTAATACCTCAAGGTTGGTCCCATTTAAATTTACTAATAAAAATAACAACCCCCAAGGGTGGAAAATAGGGGATGAATTTATTTATACGCAATAACTCCGCCGATTTTAAACCAATTTGAACGATTATTTTTTTATTGAATAGGTATTATCAAAAGGGTGGTTTCATGCGAATTTGAAGAAAATATTTCACCCCCAAGGGTGGAAAATTGGGGGATGATTTTTTTATACGCAATATCTCCGCCGATTATGAACCAATTTGAACTATTATTTTTTTGTTGAATAGGTATTATCAAAAGGATGGTTTCATGCGAATTTGAAGAAAATATTTCAACCCCCAAGGGTGGAAAATTGGGGATGAAATTTTTTATACGCAATATCTCCGCCAATTATGAACCAATTTGAACGATTATTTTTTTTTAGCATTTCTTTCTCTACTTTCTTTTAAACGCACTTCCCTTTCTTCTTTTGTTTCCTCCAAACGGCGCTGTCTCATTAAGGCTGCGCGTTTAGTAGGCCTACCCATATTAAATGCACTAAGGGTATCTACAAAAAAGTAACACTAAAAATTTTAAAATAAAATAATTAACTTTTTAAAAAAAATAAAACCGACTTCAAATGCGAGAACACAAAAAAAACTAAAAATTAAAAAATAATTCCTAATACCTATTACCTAATACTATAATTTTTCTAAACTATATCAAAGTAATTAAAGTTAAACCATCTAAATATCTTAAAATAGTTATACTTATATACCTACCTATTGTTTTTTGGAGTCGGTGCCAGTAATAAATGAATATTAAACCTAATGAAATAAGAAAAAGTACTCAATGAAACAAAAATATTAAGAAATAAGTTGTATGTAGCCTGGTACAACTAAACCTATACCAACAAAGAATAACAAATACCTACAAATCCTACAATAGAATACAACAAACAAAAAAGAAAGCAATAATTTGAAATATTGCGCATCCGAAAATTCAGTATTTTTGACACGAGCGTCAACGTAGTCTGCCCTCAAGCGTCTGCCCGCCTTCGGGTCGCTTACTCGAGCAAGACCGCACGCGCCCGCGTCCCCCGCCGCACCGCGCGGCCCCGCCTCGCGCCATGCGTCCCCCGCCACCGCGTCGCACGTCTCTATTTCGCGGGTAAACTTTAATACGCTGGCACTGGCACCGACTCCAAAAAACAATAGGTAGGTATATAAGTATAACTATTTTAAGATATTTAGATGGTTTAACTTTAATTACTTTGATATAGTTTAGAAAAATTATAGTATTAGGTAATAGGTATTAGGAATTATTTTTTAATTTTTAGTTTTTTTTGTGTTCTCGCATTTGAAGTCGGTTTTATTTTTTTTAAAAAGTTATTATTATTATAATATTATTTATTTATTTTTACGTTGGTGCGACGACTCGCACCTGTGCTATTGGTGGAATCAGACGAGTCATATTCAGATTATTGAACTAATTGAATTGACTATACGATATAGGTATTTTTTTAGTTTAGTTGTTAGGTAGTTGCAGAGTATACTGATATAATCTATATAGATATAAATTAATGTCTATAAGTTATTCTCGCTAAAACTCCAGAACAGCTGAACCGATTTGGCATATTTTGGTCTTAAATTGTTCGTGGCAGTTCAGGGAAGGTTTGAAACCTTCTTGGAGATGAGAAAAAATGTTTGAGGCGATACGAAGTTTACCGGGTCAGCTTGTTATGTAATATGTATCTACCGAGTAAAGTTTTATTAAAATGCATCGCTAATGCAAAATACCGCCACATTCACATTATTACCTAAAACCACACGACATTTACGTCAATAACTTATAGTTCATTTGTTTAAGTTTAAATGAAAAAGTCTATCTGTGTACCTATAGTTACTTAATTGAAAAACCAGGTTGTGGTCTAGGTATAACCTAGCCTACATGTAGGTATAATTACCTATTTAAGTACTTAGTTAAGCAACTTTTCATACCGATAATTAGGTATTAATATTTTACAATATTTTATTATATATAACCCAAAACATGGGAGAATGAGTTGGAACAAACATCGGATCCTTTTTGGAAAAGGGTCGCTCAATGGAAATTGTTGGAGGAGGCCTTTGCCAAAAAGCACACTGAACTTAAGAGATATTAGAGATAACAAATTAATGTTTCCCTTTTAGAGTTGTGCAAGATAATAATTATCTTGCAACACATTTTTGGTTCAGGAAAAAAGAGTTTTTTGTTTGATTATTATCAATTTATAAGTTATATTTTTTACAGGGTGGAATTTTGTAAAGGGGAAGTACTCGATAGACAATTTTACTCAAAGAAAACATTCCTTTATTTTTGTAAAGAAAGTAAAACGGCATTCAAAAATTTTTAAAAATTCGCTTGCCGCACACGGTAATCGGATCGACTAAAATCTGTAAAAGTTGCACCCTGTACTTTTATTGCATCGTCATCGTCGATGTCGATCGTCAGGATCAATAATGATTCTTTGTGGGGATATGGAAACATTTACATCAACAAACAATTTACATCAAATCTTATTAGAATGCAAACGAGTTGAGAGTTGAAGTTCACTACGAGATAACTAACAATCGATGCAATAAAAGTACCTACAGGATACAACTTTTACAGATTTTAGTCGGGTCGATTGCCGTGCGCGGCAAGGGAATTTTTAAAAAGGTCTGAATGCAGTTTTCTTTCTTTTCAAAAATAAAGGAATGTTTTCTTTGAGTAAAATTGTCTATCTAAAGTATTAAGACCTATTTCCCCTTCAGGTGGCATTACAAAATTCCACCCCTGTATATACGCTTTTTTTTTTGTTCCATATTCCAGGACATGGTAATTGTAACTATGCACTCAATTATCTAAATGAATACCTAGGAATTAAAACCTAGGTGTTTGTTCGACACAAAACGTAAAACAATAACATAGGTAAGTACCTACATAGGCATTTCATTTAATGGGTCATAGGTATTTAAGACGTCAGTGTAGGTGGTTACGACCTAACCGGGATTTCCTTAAACATATTAATGAAAGTACCTAAGTAGATATAGGGTAAAATCGTTGAAGATTTAAACTTCTTTATACCTATACAGTTTTTGTTTTTTTTTTGAGAGAGAGAAAATCATCCAATGACTTAGAATCTAGATACCTATCTAGGTCTTATTTGTATTTATTTCGTTGTAAAATAAACTAGGAACATAGGCTCACTACTTCACTAGACAATCTATTTTGCTAAACCTATTGAACTTTTGTACAGAAACATTTCAGCAACTGTAATTTGTAAAGAACATTGTTTCACGATTCACGAATAGCTTTCAGTACTTAACTGTCTGCATTTATATGCAAACATACTATGTCTAGCGTTAACTTATGCAAAAATACATAGATCTATCTACCTATCTACTAAACGGGAATCTACGTACAAAAGTATAGGTTTGTATGTATAGGTAAACGCTTTCTTCGTTTGCTGTGGTTCAACACAAATCCAAAACCAGGCGAAGGACTCACACACACGCGCACGAAAATCAATAACAGCGTTCAACAACAGACAACAGCTGATTACGACAAAATATAACAAACGGAGGAAATTATAAGTTTGTAGGAACACTCACCACGACTTTTGTTGTTGACTATCATCTGAGTTATTAAAGTTAGTTATAGCGGGATATCTGCAATACAAAATAGTCATATTCAACATTCACAATAACACTACAAAAATCAAGCATTTCAATGTTTAGCTCACTAATGTTAGTTGGTAAAAATTAATGAACTAAATGGCCCGTGTTATTTCGTTGCGTTCAACTAAATGCGAACAAAGGACTGTGTTTATTTTGCAACGCAACTCACCGTTGTGCGGTGCACTCCAAAACCTTCTTCTTTTCCCACCCCTCTTGAGTTTTAACCCATTCTTCACCAGGAGACCTCCAGTCTTTTGAAATAAAAGGCATTTTTATAACACAAAACACAACAAAGTTTAAACACGATTGGTGTGAAGCCAACGAGTCACACAAGTAAACGTCTACACCGCGAGACGGGATTTGACGATTTTGACACGAGAAGTGCGAGGTTGCGAGTTCGAACTAATGCAAATGAACAAGTGCGACAGAGAAGTCTTGTTTAGAAAAAGATAGCTGTGCGCATGGCTTTTGTTTTGTTGATGTATAGAAGACGTCATAAACAGCTGTTTTTGGTACACAACTTCTTATTAGAAACATTATTTATTTTATTCACTTAAAATTTGTTTAATTATTATTTTATGAATTCCCGTTAATTTATAATGAAAATAAACACTAAAAACTGAAATTATAACACTTTTTGATTGGAGATAACATAATAAAATATGCTTACGTAGTCAACATAGTAATACCTGAAATGCTCCTTATGCTTATTCATTCATTCATTCGTTCTTTGTCGTAGCGATTCGTTATCTGTTATTTTGTTTAACATTCATTCAATCTCTAGACGGGAACTTACGCTTTTGAGGTTATAATTGTACAGAATTTGTTTTCGTAATGGGTGACTCCGATTCTGCTTTCAAACCAAAAATCAACAGTACTGCACAAGATCCGGTACTTAAACAGGCTGAGATAGCGTATATGAAGTTGATTGAGCAGAAAAACCGCGAACGTGTACAAAAGCTGCAGCAGATTTCGAAAAAGAATAGGTTGACTGGACTCGTGATAGGAAGCGGAGTATTGAGTGTTTACTTGTATTCTATATTCGCTGTGAAACAAGAAACCTTCCTTGACGACTTTGAGGAACCAGTAAAGATCCAGCAGTAATAAAATGGCTGCTGCGAAGAAAGCTTTCCAGATAAGACTACCACCTCTACCAAGTATTAAAGATGTCATTAAACTCTACAAACTTCGTGCTCTCAGGGAACTCTCTCAGAATTTTCTCATGGAACCTCGTTTAATAGACAAAATAGTAAATGCCGCTGGTAATATAGAAAATCACGTAGTCTGCGAGGTTGGACCCGGCCCTGGCGGAATCACACGATCCATTATCCAAAGAGGTCCAAGAAAAGTAATTTTGATTGAAAAAGATCGTCGTTTTACACCATCTTTAGAACTTATAGCCGACGCATGTAAGAACAAAGTGGACGTTGACATCATAACTGGTGACATTTTGAAGACTAACATAGCTCAGTATATTCCCGAAGATGCGAAGACAGATTGGCTGGACTCGCCGCCCCCCATTAATTTAATTGGAAACTTGCCATTTAGTGTGTCCACAATATTGATAATTCGTTGGCTAGAAATGATATCAAAGCAAGAAGGTCCATGGGCTTTTGGGAGAACTAGAATGACACTGACATTTCAAAAAGAAGTTGCTGAGAGGATGGCGGCGAGAATTCTGCATGATCAGAGGTGCAGGCTGTCTGTGATGTGCCAGAACTGGTGCAATGTCAACTACAAGTTTGATATCTCCGGAGCAGCGTTTCTTCCAAAGCCTGATGTTGATGTAGGAGTAGTAACCCTAACTCCTCTGAAGCATCCCATTATAAAATTACCTTTTAAATTGGTTGAGAAAGTTGTCCGCCAGATATTTTCCATGAGACAAAAGTATTCGATCAGAGGGGCTCAGACATTGTTTCCTGAAGATGTTAGAGAAGAAATGGCTTTGAGGATGTACAAAATGGCTGAAATAGATCCTGTGACCAGACCTTTTCAGATAGCTAACATGGAATTTGCCAGAATATGTCACGCATACAATGAAATTATTAAAAAGTATCCTGAATTTGAGCACTATGATTATAGAGCGCAAAAGGTTGGCAAAAAAGTGGTAGTGCAAGAAGTTTAACTTATTAGAGGACTTAGTTGTATATATTAGTTATGTTGGAATAAATACTTGTTTAAAATATCGGTTTTATAATTTTTTATTACTAGTACTAATCATACACATGACACACAATAACTTAATTAAACATTTGAGATTTTTGTTTCTGCTTCTGTCCTGTTCCTTTGTTCTTCTAAACGTTTCATTTTCTTCAGAACTTTCTTATGTCTAAAAGATTCTAAATGAATGGCATATACATTATCCCCAATGAATATTCTTTTACACACTTCACAATAGTTGTGTGAATTACCATCCATTCCTTTTTTTACATCATCTATGACTGATTTTACTGGGGTAAATTCACATGGTTTTTCATTAAGATAACTTTCTATAATATGAATAGCTTTGTTTTTAACTTCTTCATCCCATTTCGAAATATCTGTAGTATCCAATTCGTAAATGGGCGGTACCTGAAACAAAGAAATGAAATTTAGCGCCATCTATTGTTTGTGATTATTAAAGTATCTCTTAGTAATGTTAGTTTTGCTATTACATACAAGGTGGCGTTGTATAAACTTTCAATATTGCCAAGCAGTGGTGCCAAAATTGTAGTAGTTCTGCCATTCACCACCAGATGGCTCTTTTAAATGTTTTTACAATTCAGAACTTTGAAAATAATACAATTTTAAATGTATCTTAGAAGATATTTTCAAGAAAACCAGAAATAATGCACATAAAAGTGATGAGGGTTACAAGTCAAACATAAAATATGCGCAATAAACCTAATAACACGCAATACTTAGATATCGCCGATTTTATCTACCGAATGTTGCACGACACGGAAAATTATGGTACTTTTTATGTCCTGTAGGTTTTTCTAGTACCCACGTAAAAGGACATGACCTTTGTTAAAAAAAATCAATCTACCGCACATTTTTGTTGTTTCACTTGTTTGACATTTAATTAAAATCTTACCTCTCTTGTAGGATGTTCCAAGAATCTTCCTCTAATCATCTTGTTTTGCCGGCGGGCGTACCTCCTGGTGCCCATTTTCATGTTTTCTATGCTTTGTTCGAGCAATTTTTTCCCTGCATCAGTATTTCTTTCTTCATCAGACAGCATTAAATACTCGTGAAATTCTTTAAAGCCAAGAGTTTGGAAGACACCTTTGGTGTAGTCCGGTGGCCTGGAACGATAATAAATAAATAGGATAATGTATGAAATTAATAATTAATGCTACACGGGGTGCGGATACCGCCTGGGGGTCTTTTAGCCGGCGCACGGCGGGCTAAAAGCTGGCTGTATACGTCTATGGAAAATAGAAGTGAATAATTAAACAATTGTACGAATGTCTGCTGACGTCAACGGGGTTATGATGGAAAATCGTCAGTAGGTACCTGCGAGTGAGGTAAATTTCTTAAATTGATTTTGAGTAGGTAGGTACGTGTGCTCGGTAACATGGTAAGCCTGTAAGCCGCTTAGGGAAGCCTGAAGCAAAGATTATGATTTTGGGTACGTAATAACGAATTATCTAAACATGGGAGGTAGCTGCGGACTTGGGTACTTGGGTACCTCTTCACAATCTGTCTGCGGGTAGGAAGATACTTGAATTTGTTTAGAAGTTGAAATGTGTGGAAGATAAACCGTTCAAGGTCAGTCCGGCGCTGGATTAGCTACAGATAAGTATTTGCTAACATAAAACGATGCAAAATGTTTTGTTTATCTCTCCGATACCGTATATCTTTCAGGGAAGTGGAACTAACGCGGACTGTTTACTTGTGGGCGTGTTCGATTATTTGTTTTATTGCGTAGTAGTAAATATAGGTAGACCACGGACGTACACACATTTAAATTCGGTGTTTTTTTACTTCTGTTGTTATTGGCAATGTAAAAATGCTGTAGGTGTCGGATGCTCGTCAAATCAGTTGTTGGATTAGTTTCTGTGTGGTCCCTTCTATTATTAGGATATCAGTATCTATCCTTATATGGTTTGACAAAGAGTTATTGTAACATTAGTTCATCTAATCTAATAGGATGTTGCTCATCATTTTGATTTTAGTAAAATATTGGTTGGTATTCCTTTGTACACTACTGTGACGTCAGTAACTAGATTAGCTTAGTTTGTTTAAAACTTTATTTATCACAGTAAATAGAAAGTGCATGATGATGGATTTGGTCGATCTAGACTAGAGATATGTAGTACATGAAAGTATGTAGTACATGCATACTTGATTGTAAAATTGAATTGGGTGCAACACTAGCAAAATGTAGGTGCACAAGGCGGGCGCGTAGCTCTAGGAACAGATAATGATCTGTGCTTCAATCTATAAATAAGCAACTAGACATTAATAACAATAACTACGTTTATGCAGACGATGCACGACAACGTACTTTGCATAATACGTCAATATATTATCCGGCACAGAACGTAGAAACCCGAACATTTTAAAAATGGAAATATGAATATTTGCGCGCCATTCCGTGGCGGAGTTTTTTGTCGATGGTATAATTATTATTTAGCGAACGATGAACGATCATCGATTACGTAACGTTTGTTAGGTATCGTTCGTTCACCTCAGTCCGTTTCCCGCTGACTTAACCTTCAAAATATATTCGATTTATTTTATTTAGTATTTTATCACACACATGTGTGTCTCAGTCACATGTTCGCACGTCAATTTTACTAAATACGCAAAAACTTATTTGCCGACATGATAATTAGGAATATCTACGATAGATAGGCCGAGTGTTTTGACGGTTTTAGTTTGAATAAGACTACTTGTAAGCATGATTATCTGTCGAGGATAATAATAAGTTAGTCTAGCATTTCATAAAGTACCTATAGCGCTGAATGACCCTGACTATCACTTAAAATCAGTCAACTACAATAAACTTATTTCAAAGAAATTTACAACCCAGACCGAGCAATCTTAACTAACAAGGAACAACGAATACTTGAAAAGTTTAAAACAATGAAAACATAAGGGCAAGTTGCTACTGGTACAAGCTCCAGTGGCCTTATTCGAAGGGATGTATTCGTTGGGGTAGTGAAGTGGGTTAAAGGGTAGTGGGCCGTAATGGCCGGTGACGTATTACGGCGCGTAATGAACCCGCCGCGTCTGGATGAAGACGTACAAGTGCCCGCTGAGATATAGGTGACTGGATATGTCTAGTGCCGTCGATGGATAAATAAACTTATATTAACGTTACTTTGATCATGTTTTTCTTGATGCGGGAGGCTAGGTTCTTAGTCGATTGTTGAATTCTTTCCAAATTCTCAGTACCTGAGTAAGAAGTCTGATTTTGTGTACGACAATAGGCCCAACGCTTATGAGATGCATATGTTGTTGGAGCATCAAACATTAGTTACTTGTAATCAATGGTAGCCAGACGTTTACACCTTCAGAAAATTTGAGTCCCATCCCTTATTTGCGTCGCCTCAAAGAGCCATCAGACCACCACAGATGGGGCCCAATTTTTTTTTTATTATAATTTTTTTTGGGCTGATTCCGATATGGCGCCGCGGAGAACCTCACGGGTTACCGGGGCTCCGGCTCGAAGTGTAGAAGTACGAACGGGGTGTTTTTTAGTCAGTAAGAGTCTGGCATTCCCTTTCGCCCTGGCCCGGGCGGGAGAAGTCATTGGATGATTTTCCCCCCTAAAAAAATCTCATATTTGCGTAACTAGGTACTCATTAACATTTTATTCTATTATAACTAGTTCCGTATTATGATCGATTATCAGTGAATTGAAACTATCTAAAAAGTACTTTCCTGGTGTGTTCCATCTCATACAGTTTATAGTCTATGCAAAAGGGTCAGGAGTTGATTGTTCCAGAATAACGACATACCTGGTTTATGCACAATTTTGATTTATTACTTCAAGTAACTTGTTTCTGTAGGAAGGGTGTTCCTCGTGTACCTTTAATTAATTTTCATGTAAGATGGAACAGGTTGGTGGAACTATAAACCGTAGCTGATTCTATTCGTCAGCAGGTAAGTAAGTTCGCGTTGCTAATTCTGTGATTGGCTAATGCCGTACTTGGCTTTTAATTTATCAATAGCTACGGTCTAACTGGTATTGGTAGACAAATCTTATTCTTATACTATTATATAAAACAGAAGAGTTTGTTTGTTTGAACGCGCTAATCTCCGAAACTACGGGTCCGATTTGAAAAAATATTTCTGTGTTGGATAGCTCATTTATCGAGGAAGGCTATAGGCTATAAAACATCACGCTACGATTAATAGGCGCCGAGCAGTGCGAGTGAAACCGCGCGGAAGTAGCTAGTCTTTTTATATATATTTGATGGGCCGACGTTTGACCACTATCTCGTCTGGTGGTAAGCAATAATGCGGTCTACGACGGAGCACGTCGTCCCATAAGCAAACTGTTGACTCGGGCCTTGAAGACACCCAGGTACCCTCTGCTTATACCTATTATGCCAAAAATATAAACAACAATCAAACAAGCGTTATTGAAGTTTGTTTTGTCACGTCTGAGCAGAGGTCGACGCATCTATTTCAAAACATAAATAAAAAAAAAAATAAACAAATAAACTAAAGAATTTTAAAACTGTCAAAAGAGAAATGAATGTCAGTCACTCATTTGTGAGATAGTAGACAATTTGTCTATGGAGTGGGAGTGGCTTACATGACATAAGGATGATGTTCCCTGTTTGCTACTGTTCTGTGCGTACGCAGCGTACTCTTAATCAACAGGTCTTGATCCTTGGTATTAAAAAGTTTTAGAAGTCTTAGATAAATATAATACGGAAATACTGCGTCCCGAAGAAGGGGCTGAAGGACACACATTTCATGTTAATTACCCTTTTCGTCAAATAATATGTGATATGTTGCTTAAATGTCTACCGGTCTACGGATTGTATTGTATTTCCTATTTTGGATATTATAGTTTATATTATCCAAGTGTATTGTCGCATATTAGGTGTATTTTTAAACTCCGTGCATGATTTTTTAATAAATTTAGAATAGACTATTGAATCAACACCATTGTTAGGAAAGGTACCTAAATAAAGTGGTTATTAAAAACGAATAGGCCATGCCTTACTAATCTAGTAGGTTATAGCAGACTTACTAGATTAAGTTAAACAAAAAATTAAAAACAACTTTTACTTTTTCCAAAATGAGACGAAAAAAAAATCGAAAGTTCCGTCCATTAGTGCTGAGACGTCGAGTATCGATTACACGGTGCGTTAAAAATAAATCAATCGGAAATTCTAAGTTTTTTGTTAAACGGACTTTGCTTTATTTCAACGAAAAAAAGTGAATCAATCAAGAATCGATTAATTGATAAATACTGTTATGGATGAATAATTAAAATGTAATTTTGATGTAGACAAACAGACGAATACTAATGATTTGACCGAATTTTGGTCTAAGGGCAACTTATAATTATGTATAAATATTATTTTATTTCTTAAAGTCGTGTAAAAATGCAGTTGTCGACGTCTCTATCCCAAGATGTCGGCGTGAAAATGAAGTTAGGTTAGAAGGTTTATAAGGAAAATAAAGTTAGTTAATTTTTTTCAATCATGAATGAAAGTTTTTATTCTTAAATGGCTTAACAGCAGCTATTTTTGTTCTCTCCTTGATTACCACTTCTGTTAAACCTACTTTTAAATTAATTTGAAGGTTGTTTAATTTATAATTAGAAAAACTTAACTTCTCCTAATGATTCACATAATTAGCATTGAGCCCAGTTAAGTTAAAAGGAAGGAAAACATTTTTAAATGTTTACACAGTACCTTGTCAGCATTTTTTTCTATGAAAAAAATTTTCTTTGCTGTCAAAATTTTCGGTTATGATCATCTTTATTCGCGTGAAATTTGTTACTTTGGACAGACAACCTGTTAATTTCGCATTAAAATAAATATTAGTAAACATTTCCCAAGTACCAAATAATGGCGGGTTAGTAAAATAGGCTCGGCGTGTAACACGACACGTTGTAAGACGCGACCGCAGCACCGCACGACAGATGACAGACAGGACGTTGCCCGCGAACCGCCATATTTGTTTTGTGCATTTTTTACACCATAGACGCGACCTGCGTCTTGTCTATGGTGTAAAAAAATACGTGCGTACGGCGTAAATGCGTACGCATGCGCATAGTAAAACTCGAACAGTTAAAACTGAATTGAACTAATATATATAGTTATTTACCTCTATAAAATATAAATAAACTAAAACGCAATGTCTTACTTCCTGAAGGTATAGGCAAAAGTGCATGTGAAATAGATCATCACCAACATTTCGCCAGGTATATTGTCAGTTTAATAGTCAAATCCAAGTTTCTAGTGCTGTGTTTAAAAATACCATTTCATTATGAACCCATTTCATGAAGAAAACGTCTATATTTATAACCTATTAAAAATAGATTTAGTACTATTTGTACCTTCCATTTATGATATTACACTTTCAAAGCCAAGTTAATATTAAATCATTCAACCACTCAATAAAGCTATAAAACTTATCAAATATGTAATTACGTTTGCCATTACCCTAACCGATATACCCTGAGACGTCACAGTGGCACCGCTGACTTTCAACACTGACAAAACCAGTACAAATCCAACTTTTTTTACTCTAGTTCCATATTCGGCCGTGTGTCTTGTTACACTGGTGGCATTGTAAAGAAGTTTCCTGTCAATTTCGCGTTTCTTACTAACAAAATGTTTCGTTAAGCGCCGTTTAATTTCACGGATAATTTGTGTGGATCGAATGCCCTTTGTTTTTCGTAAATTAAGTATTGATCGACAGACTTCACTGTCTGTAGGTTTTTATTTTAAAACGATAAAGATATATTAAAGTGTTTGTATTTTTCCATTCATTGGTTGTTGTTTTTTTTATCTGTGTTGCCAACTTTAAATAATAATTTAATTGGGTAGAAACTACGCCTAAGTGTCTAGACCATGTCAATAAAAAATAAATTAAATTGCAGATGAATGGCAGATTATGGTATTTTCAAGATATACATTTTCATGTTTATGATAGACTAAGCGTCTAGTGCTATGAGATTTTAAATGAGTATTTTTATTGTTATTTGAAATTAGAGATCGATAGACTTGACGGTCTATATAACTAAGATAAACATATAGTTTTTGTTTATGCCGTAAGTATTTATGGTTTTAAAAAGGTCGAATTAGATCTTCAGAATGACAGTTCTACTTACTTTCCATCCTTTATCCTTTGCTTGTTGTGCTTATCGTGGAAGTCCAGGAGCTCCTGTATCAGGCCTTCTTCTATCATGGAGTCCACTCTAGAGTTGAGTCGCTGATCGTGGACACTCTGTAATAAATACGATTAGAGTTTAAAAAATTGCTGGGAATGAGATTCATATTGCTGTAGTGAATTTGGTTAGGGCTTCTTATACGGCTAGTCTCAATAACTTGACAGACATCGGGCAGTAGCACTTTCTCAAATTTGAACCTTATAAACCTCTGAACCTACCTGATCGCCTCGTTGGCCGAGTGGTCGCAAGTGCGACTGCCGGGCAAGGGGTCTCGGGTTCGATTTCCGAGTCGGGCTATTACTGAGTTTTTAAAAATCTCAGTGGTAGCACGGAGTCTGGAAATGTGCCCGGTATATGGCAATAGGCTCACCCCCTATTACATGGGACTAGTGGGAAATAGTGAAAAGTGGGTGTTACATTGTACAGTGGCAATTAATGCCGAAATGTGCACCTCTGCCATTCGGGGATAAAAAGGCATGGTGTTATGTTATGGTATGTTAAACCTCTGAACCAGTCTGCCAAACGTGGAGATGGAAAATTTCTAAAAATTTTCCAGTCTGAAGAGTCTTAAGACTCTTGCCTAAAACTCTTGTCTTCTTGAGTCTCTGGACTCTTGGCTTTTTGAGTCTAAAAACTCTTGAGTCTAACGAGTTATATAATTATGTAAATCAATAAACTGTAAAAAATCCCAAGCTCACAAAAATCACTTTTTTCAATATTTGCGAAACTGTGGCAGGTGTTCCAATACTGTTTGATGTTAGGACGAAGACCCTTAGATACTCCCCCCATGTAACAACTTTACCTAGGGACCGCAGTATTCCCGTGAGAATCCGAATAAATCTGAATTCGCCAACTGATTAGATAAAGTGACATAATGTTGATAATGCATGCATTGTAGTGCAATAACGATACGTGGTTATGTCATTATATTAGTGGGTGGGATAGTTCAATATGGTGGTATTAATTTTTTGATAGGTGTAAGGACGGATGTTGATTTGGTGAATGCTAATGATTATATTCTTCTTGTTGATCATCCTGATGATCCTTGGTTTGTTGGGTCTGGTGACAATGAAAATTCTCTGCATTTTTTTTTAAGGGGGGAACATCATCGAATGACTGCTCCCGCCTGGGTGAGGCAGGAGGGAGTGTCAGACTCTTACTGACTAAAAACCACCCCGTTCCTTCTCCTGCACGTCGAGCCGGAGCCCCGGTAACCTGTTAGGTTCTAAAATTCTCTGCAGTAGCTAGCTAGCTTTGTCTTATCATTCATCAATAATTAAATTCTAGTTTAATACTTAGTAGAATGAGAATTTCAGATTAAAACATCTACGTTCAGTTTTATTTAACAGAAAATTTAACATAACATCACGCCCATTACCCCGAAAGGATATACAGAGGTGCACATTATACCACTGTACAATGTAACACCCACTTTTCACTATTTATGTTATGAGTCCCAAGTAATAGGGGGTGAGCCTATTGCCATATACCGGGCACAATTTCAGACTCCGTGCTACTACTGAGAATATTTGAAAACCCAGTAATACTTTGCTGGACCCGGGAATCGAACCCGAGATCCCTTGCCCGGCAGTCGCACTTACGACCACTCGGCCAAAGAGGTAGTCAGACAGAAAATTTAATCGCGAAGTATACCTAGTTTAATATAAAAATCCAAAGTACCAGGCGCGCATACTCGTGACAGAGTTTCATCCAGTACAGGTAAACATAGTGAGACAACATCTACCAAGAATACCTTTATGAAGCCGTGCTAGTCTTGAAAAGATGTAATTTCCTTACCCTAAGCTGTTTTGCAATCTAGACTGTATTGAAGCTGGGAAATCGGTTTAAGAAAAAGGACATCTTATAAGATGTCCTTTTTCTCGGGAACGCGAATAAAATGGCTGACTGATCTTCTTATGGCCAGCATTAGTTCAGTGTTTATTACTATTTATTTTAAATGTATATACAAAACAATCAATGATGTTAATTCAGTTTAACTGAAACAAAGGTGTAGTAACGATTAGGCAAAGGCACTTACCTATTTTGTATCAGAATTGGGTAGTTTCCAGGGTAAGAAAATTAAAAATCTAATTAGTCCGTCAGTTAGATAATGAAAAAATATTAAACACGTATTTTTTTATTTTGTCGTATAAAGTTACAATACTCAGATAAAATGGAGTTAAGTTTAGGAGTGGGAGGTAGTTACGTCACAACGTGTTATATTTTGTTGCACGCTGTGACGTCACACGACATTTCAAATCAATATATCGTCGAAAGCATTTAATTTGGTGGGAAAAGAAAAAATACGTGTCTAATGTTTTAAAACAATCTGCCAGACGGCATTAAAATAAAATTTAGGAAACTAGCCTATTCCTATTGACTAGGAAGACTTAAAAATATCCCAGGATCCATAGCCATAAGATACAAGACTCACAAGTTGACAAAGTATTTTTGGACGCCAACAAAGCTATAAAAAACTTAAAGAAAAAAAGAGTAAATTGAAAACGTTTTGAAGAAACTTGCTTCTCAGTTCCCATAGTAAACTTATGAATATGGTAATACCTGTGATTAGAGTACATGTCACTCGATTAGCCGACATGTCTATTGTTGATCGTTAACATGTTATAACGATCGCGGACGATCTAAAACAATCGATTAGATTGTGAGTCACGAATCGTCACGATTAGGCTTTGAAAAACTTTGTCTGTATGCATAAAGAGTATGGTGGAGTTGCTAGGGGGAACTTTGCATTTTTTAGAGAGAAAATATGTATACGCCGTCTTTTTTTTTAAGGGGCGAAATCATCGAATGACTTCTCGCGCCTGGGTGACGCGGGAGGGAGTGTCAGACTCTTACTGACTAAGAACCACCCTGTTCCTTCTCCTGCACGTCGAGCCGGAGCCCCGGTAACCCGTTAGGTTCTCCGCGACATTTAACGCCGTCTAGGTAGATCTTGGATCTCATTGTCTAGGCAAAGGGTATCCATGTGGAAATCTCCACAGGTACAAAAAAAAAAGGTAGATCTTGGATCAGTAACAAAACAGTTCTAGGACGATCATCATTATCATCAAATCAGCCATTGATGAAGACGGCCCTTTCACTAATGACTTCGAAATCGTTCGGTTGAAAGTGACCTGCATCCACCGACTCCCCTTTTTTTTTGAGGGGGGGAAATCATCCAATGACTTCTCCCGCCCGGGTGAGGCGAGAGGGAGTGTCAGACTCTTACTGACTAAAAACCACCCCGTTCCTTCTCCTGCACGTCGAGCCGGAGCCCCGGTAACCCGTTAAGTCTTCCGCGGCTCCGTATCGGCATCAGCCCTGTTGGGCCCCATCTGTGGTGGTCTGATAGCTCCTTGAGGCGCGCGCGGAACACGCCGCGCCGTTCGCTCGGGTCTGGTTCTGGTCGGGCGGCGAGTCACCCATGCTTGCCGTCCGCAGTGATCTATTATATCATGCGATAATATTATGATGACACTATTTACCTTCATCTATTTATGCCCTTTTATTCAGCTATGTGTTATCAGAACATTAAATATCATAAAACCTATTATTAACCACATACTATTCATAGTTCAATTATTTAACATGTAATGATAATAATGAATCATGCGCATGCATTTGACGCATTGTGTTTTCCGAATGCGTGCGGTGTGCTGTTGTCAATGAAGTAGGAATGTGGTATGAGGTTAGTTCACATAGCTTGTAGAAAGAAAAAAATGGTAAAGATAATTTTAAAGGTTTCGAAATTAGATTTGAATTTAAGAATCCATAAAATTATAAATAACTGCTTGCATTCTCCCCATTAGATATTACATAAGTTCATGTCTTTTATCCCCGAAGGGGTAGACAGAGGTGCACATTATGGCACTTAATGCCACTCTACAATGTAAAACCCACTTTTCACTATGCATGTTATGAGTCCCATGTAATAGGGGGTGAGCCTATTGCCATATACCGGGCACAATTCCAGACTCCGTGCTACTACTGAGATTTTTTGAAAAAACCCAGTAATACTTTGCCCGAATCGAACCCGAGACCCCTTGCCCGGCAGTCGCACTTGACCGAGTGTTCACTCGGTCAACGAGGCAGCCATTAGATATTGTCACATATTTTGTAGAAACATCTGTCAATTTAACTCTTAAACACCATTCCATATGCATCAATTAGTTTCACTTCCAATTACTATCCTATACCTTATCCTTTACCTATTAATGCATAAAGACGAGTATCTAGAACCCACATGAACACAGCTAACACTATGTGATCGTACGTCCATGTTGGTCACGGTTATGTCATTTGGGTCAAGCGTGTGTCAATCCTTCGGCGACCTTTCTCATGCACGATTACAGGTGCATAGTCCACTGACTGTGTCACCTACTAGGTTGGCTAGGTACTGGCTTGGGCTAGGCTCACTGTCTATAGTACTAGGTACAACATATTTGTTATTATGCAATTATTATCCTGACTGATTTGACTAGTGCTGTTAGACTTTGCTTTTTGAGAGCATTATTGGTCTCGAATTCACGATCATCGATTGACTCTTGGGTTGGTGATAGACGTAACCTATTTTTGCAGTTAAGTTTCTTAAATAGTGTATTTTTGTGTCATGTATATTTAAATTTATATTTTTTTAAGGCGGAAATTCATCGAATGACTTCTCCCGCCTGGTTGAGGCGGAAGGGAGTGTCAGACTCTTACTGACTAAAAACCATCCCGTTCCTTCTCCTGCACTTCGAGCCGGAGCGCCGGTAACCCGTTAGGTTCTCCGCGTCATGTAAGTTCATATAGGGATTTATTTATGTAAGTGTATACAATTATTTTTTTATGTATTTCCCTTGGTCATAGATTTGAATGCGCTTGCTTGCATCGACCATTGTTTTTGTTTTTGCATCACCCAAAGGTCTGGCTGGAACAGAATGCCTATGGCATTGAGCCCATCTTGTAATTATAATAGGTATCAATCTTCCGCATTAACTGCAAGTTAGCATGCTTCCAATGTATTACACTTTTGCTCGTCTTAATCACTTTCCAACCTAAAGCGGTACACAAATGT